TAGAACTCAATGATTATCCTAATTATATTTTAGATTTTTTATATTTAAAATGAGATGTTTATCCTATATTTGATTGTGTTTATCTGCAGTTAGTTACACGAATTTAGTTATGGAATGAAATCGGATAGAGATGAAATTGTTTAGGGATGAACGGGTTTAAGAGTTTTAAGAGTTTAAGAGTTTTTAAGAGTTTTAGCCAAATGCTTTATAATATAGTATAGATATATTCACTTTCTTCTCCATCTCTACATAATCCTTCGTATATATGTTCAGTAATCTAAACATATATATGCAAATTGAGAAAAATCAGTTGAATGTGATATACTTAAGATTTAAGAAATGTAAGTTTTTATATGTCCCCCACGACACGTGTCACACAGGGTCATATAGAAATAATACGTTTGATTTCATTTGTAGAAACCCAGATTAAATCAAGTTGATTATGCAAATAATTATTCTTCAAGGGTAATTATGAAAATATGTGTTACAACATAATTATGATAATTACATGGTGTTATATGTATAATTATATTAATATTTCATGATAATTATATAATTATTAGAGATCATCCGTTGTTTTCAAATCAGATACTCAAATAGAGATGTCCTTTTTTCCATGCCTCTAACTCTGAGAAACCTTACATGTGGCCCCGTGGACTTTCTAACATTTAATATAGCCCCTCAGGCTGTAAAGAAACCGAACGTTCAACAAATCGTTCCTGAACCGTTCAATAGAAAGTTCGTTTATGTTCATTTATTTAATAAATGAACGAACATGAACAAGTTTTTTTATTCGTTTAATTAAACGAAAAAACATGAAGAAATGTCTCGTTCGTTCATTTACGTTTGTGAATGTTTGTTAATGTTCTTTTATTTATGTTCGTTTATGTTTGCTTATGTCATTTTATTATCATGTAAATATTTAAGAAGTTAAAAATTGAATAAATAATTCATGACAATTAAATATTTAATAATTGAATAATGATTAATAATAATAAAGAGTTAATATTTTCAATACTAAAAATAATAATGAAAAGTGATGCTCCATTAGTTGGCTGACGGTTTCTTTATATAATGTTTCCTAGCCTTTTGTTTTCTTTAAATTTTTGATGTGAGATGAGGGATTGGTTGACCGGTTTTTTAGGTTGTTTGTTTACATCTTAATAGTATATTAAGAGGCATCATTTGAATCCTTAAAAAGTAAATCTTGTTTGGCAAAAAAAAAATCTGCCTCTTAATGATTATAAAATCCTCTGAATGATTTTGTATCATGAGTCTGCCTTAACCATTCAGCGCCATAATTTTATTGTAAACAATTATATTTCATTTTACACTATATCATAAGAACATTTTAATCATTCTGACCATTTAATCATTCTGCACTAAACCGTCCAACAACTGCCAAACAACCTCTTAAAACAGCTCTTCTTTAAAGGAATACTTGGTTGACTCTTGAAGGTTTCTTCCCAGTTCTCACATTGGCGTGACTTAGAAAAGTTAGAGCAACTCCTCATGCATATACCTTCCTAGCTCCATGTTGAAACTTAGAGCAACTCTTCCTTCTAAGTCCATATAAAGGGACAACTTCATTTGTTAATTTAAATTATTGTATTAATTATGTTAACTAATCTTGACCATTGATTTTTGAAATTTGTGGTTAAGATCATTCATGACATAAAGTGTAAATAATTACACACATAGACAATGTAACATAAGTGAACAATGTTTACAAGGGGTATTTTGGGAAAAGATTTTAGTTGTTTATCAATGACAATGAGATGTTTTGACCGCTCATTAATGACAAAGAAAATGTTTTGTAACGGTCCATTAATAACAATATAACTATCCGGAAATTAATTTCGTTCATCGAATCAAAACCAACAGCAAGATCCCCGACACCAGATTCTTCTACGATTTTTTATTGTTAATGGTTCAGATATGAACAAGTATTCTATTTATGAGAATTGTTCTTGTGTGAACATGGGTGTATATGTAAAAAAGTCGTAATATTTTTGTAACATCCATGTTTTATTTTAGTAAACACATATATTATTTAGTCTCGTTCATATATAAAATAAATGTGGAATGATACCTAGTTCACCTATGAACACATATCAAATTGTGCTTATGAAAATGTCCATGTTTTTACTTCTGAACACTATTCAATTGTTTTTAAATAATTGGTAATTTGTACATATCCCGTTTTTGTATTTATCCATAATTGCTTAAACGATACCGAAAAACTTTATTACCGGGTCTCCTCCACCAATCACAAATTCATAAACATTAAAGATGGAAGATCAATATTAGAAAAAATAACAAGATCAATATTAAAAATGCATAACTCATGGAATTTTATCATCTTGTAACTCCTAATTAATAATATAGGGGTTACATAAAAAAGAAAATTACCCATATACCATTGTCATTAAATTCTAAGATAGAGAAGAACCTAATACTAAGATGAATTGTGATTGGTTGAAAAAATTTATAATGTTAACACAATAGTTTTGGTTAACATTTGAACCAAGCATGCACACTTTTTCTCTCTCTCTCTATATATATATATAATGCTTCCAAGGCTTTAACTTTGTACCTAGCCTAGTGGTCTTAAGGCCACTTGAATGGTTAATTGGAGCACCTCGTAAAATTAAGCGGATGCACCCTGTGCCTAATTAAATTTGTTTGTTTATGTTCGTTTAGCATCTTAAACGAACAAATACAATAGAATACAAACACCAAATTTTTGTTCGTTTACTGTTCATATTCGTTCGTTTGTTCGGTTAAGTTAAATGAACGAACATGAACAAACTTTTGTTCATGTTCGTTTACAGGCCTATTGGCCTCTGCTCTCATTACTTTTACCAACTTTACACGTTTAATCCTGATTCAACATTTTAATTCGATCTTATTCCAATTCTCAAATATTTTTATATTTTTATCCATTAAAATAAAATTCATTCTATTTTTTAGTTCCATTTTTCCCTTTCTTCTCATATTTATTTATTTACCAATTTTTGGGGTGTCACAAACACCAATGCGAGGCATGGAGGTAGGAGAAGAAGATGGTGATTTTCTTCTTTGGCCTTCCAAGTTTTAATGAATATATTGGCTCCTGATGTAAAAGGTTAATTAGAAAAATGCTAAAAAGTAGAAGAATAGTTACGAGACCATTTTTGCCCTCAATTTAAAACATATTTTATAAACGAATGTTTGGTCCAAGAACCAAAACTGTGAAAAAAAATGCATAACCCCAGTTATTCTACGTAATAAATAAAATTTAAGAACTAATTTTTGTACAAAACTACATACTATAGGAACCAACTCGTAATTTACTCTAAATATTATTAATGAGGGAAAGATATTTATTGTATTTAATAATTTGTTAGTAATTAAATTACAATTATCTCAATTAGGCAAAGATGTAAATATACTTTGCAAAAAACTCTAGAACATGTTAGGATACAGTAGAACGCTCTATTCCTTAAGGATGAAGTTGTTGAATGCTCTTGATTGCTTCATTCTGTGGACATGTAGAAGGTTATGAAATATTTGGTTTATTGGTGGACAAGTCTTTAAAAACGTTAATCTACAAGTGTTTTTAGAAAATAAAAATAATTCCTAATATACCCAATCCACGCCGCCTTCTCCAACGTGTTCTGCCTCCCCCGCCCCTTTTTACTTGACGTGTTCTAGTTAAGAGCTTAACTGATGAAGATCTTGACGAGCTTAAAGGTTTTTCAGATTTAGTTATGATGAAATCCTAGAAATCTACAACACTTTGGTAATCGTATTACTCAAAGAGTCAAAAGTTTCTTGAGAACATCAAAAGTCGGCAAACTTGCCATCGTCGACCGTGGTTGGTGAAACTGTCTCCCCACCTTCGATTGTTGATTGGAAGATTTATTGTATTGGTAGATGTTTTCAACAGTTTGCATCTTTACCGTTATTGATATTTTGGTGGATGTTTGAATTCATATGCATATCATGTTCATTACGTTTTTACTGATTCTAAAATAGTTATAATTGCTTTTAGAATTTTTGTGATTCAATCTATCCAATTAGGGATTTGTTAGTTAACTTTGTTTATTCAAATGGGTGTAGGCGATGATCCTGAAGCCTGATGATGTGGAAGCAAGGCTTAAATTTTGGGCCAATGGCGTAGCTTGAACAGTTAGATTATGCAACTAATGACCTTATTAAATCAAGCATCGATTAAAAGAAATCCAAGATCAATCAGTTAGAGTAGAGGTTATTGAATCATGATCAACGTCAAAATAAAAATGAATGCAGAAGCTTGGATCTTTATCGAGGAATAGAAATAGCCGTGCAGGGGTTTTCGACGAAAATGGATGCTTCAATTTTCGTTAACGAGAGGTTGCAAATTCAAGGGTTAGAACAGGAGAATCAAGAAAACTCACAAGAATTTGATGAAAATTTATATAATAAACCAGAAGCAACAATGTATGACGGAACACGTCGAAAAAAAGGAGGTGCGTTTAGGTTAGAATTTATTTGTATTTTCTTAAATACAAAATGACTTTATATATAAGTTTTTATTGTACATTAATTAAAAAACCAAATATTAGAAGTTAAATTGAAATGTTTATGTAATTTATTCTTAAAATTAATTTGATTCGTGACATACAAAAGTTGCAAAAATTATTGGCGTTGAACTCAAGCGAGCTCTTATATCTTCCCTCATCTCTAATTCTAGGGTTTCTTTTCGCGCCTAGGGTTTACAGTTCACCGGCTAGAAAAACGATGGACCTTTCGAAGAAGAGAAAGACCGAAGAGAACGGCGTTCTATACACGACGGCCGGCGCCAACGATGTCGTTGCTCCGCCGCCGTCACTTTCGTCTCTCAGTCTCACTCCCCTAGACGCACGCAAGATCCTCGAACCGTTCAGCAAAGAACAGCTTCTTGATGTCTTGCAAACTGTCATCATCCGCGACGTTGCTGTTTTAGACGCCGTTCGTTCTATCGCAGATTCTGACCCCACCCAGCGTAAACTCTTTATCCGTGGCATCGGCTGGGAAACTACCACTGAAAAGCTCCGATCGATCTTTTCGGGTTTTGGAGAACTTGACGAGGCTATTGTCATTACCGACAAAACCACAGGCAAATCGAAAGGTTACGGTTTTGTTACTTTTAAGCATATAGACGGTGCCATTTTGGCTTTGAAGGAACCTAGCAAGAAGATAGATGGTCGTATTACGGTTGCGCAGTTAGCGGCAGCTAGGGAATCGGGTAGTGTCGATGTGTCGATGAGGAAGATTTACGTTGGCAATGTTCCTTTTGAGATTTCGTCGGAGAGATTGTTGAGCCATTTTTCATCGTATGGGGAAATTGAAGAAGGGCCATTAGGGTTTGACAAGCAGTCGGGGAAGCAAAAGGGATTTGCGTTTTTTGTGTATAAGACGGAGGAAGGGGCGAGGAATTCACTTGTTGATCCGATGAAGAACATTGATGGGCACCAAGTTATGTGTAAAATGGCTACTGATGGGAAGAAGGGCAAAGTAGGTGGGCCCCAGAGACCATCTGGAATGCCCGGTGATGCTGTTCCGCCTCCGGGATCGATGCCAGGGTCCATGAATACTGGCTATGGTATGCCGGGTACGGTTATTTTTCTTTCAGAATATTTATCTTCTTAACGTTAATGTTATTTTCTTTACTCTTGATATTCTATATAAATGTTTCATGTGTTTTGGCTTTGTTTATTTAACGAAATTATGGAGGACATAGAAATTGTGAAGTTGTTACCGTTTGCTATTTTCTTGTCATTATTCAAAGATAACCTTGTGGTTGAACTTCAATTAGAGTTTCAGCTATTAGACAAGATGGTCAATATGTAATTTAAAATTGGAATCAGCTTTAGCTATACTGGACCCTGAAACAAAATTCCATCTAAAATATATCAGAGCTCAGGTTCGAGACTGGTGCTATTAGTTTTAGTCTATCATCTAAACAAAGCAGAAACAGAAGGAAAAAATAATTTTACTTACATACTGCATGCTGGTATCTTAACGGATGAATTTCTTTTAATGGTGGATTGCAGGAGGTTTAACATCTTTTGGTGGGTATTCGGGTGGGCGTCCTCTTCCTCCTCATCAAAATTCACAGATGAACTCATCAGTGCCTTCAGCAGTTGGCGGTGGTCAGGGATTTGGTAATCAGGGGCCACCCTCTTATAGTGGTGGCAGTGGCTATGGTGGTGGTGGTGGATATAGTGGTGGTGGATTCACCAGTGGCTCACACTTTGGAGGTGGGGCTGCCTCTGGGGAGTATCCTGGGATAAATACTTTTGGGTCGTCTATGAATAGAATGCCCCCAACATCAGGAGGATACCCTGATAGTGGCAATTATGGATCGTCTTCGGCTTATCCAACACAAATGCACCAGCCACCAGCTGGTCCAAGAGGCCCGACAGGCCAGATGTATCAAGGCGGGCCACCTTACTATTGAGGTAATGTTATGTTCTTCCTTCTCTTCCTATGTTGCTTTCTAGATACTTTGACGTATTGCTCCATACTTACATTGTCGATCATGGTTATGCAGATGCATGCTGCACATTCTAATTTTGCCGATTTACTAATAATAGAGATTAATTATTTTTCTAATTATCACACTTGTATTTTCCTTTCTCACTAACCACTGCACTTGCTAAAATGCAAAATTTACATAGTATGCCAATGTGACTGGTTTTAGGCCACTTGCCATGTTTTTTTGCAACACAATTACAACTATGATGGTTAGAATCATTTACTTGGCGTACTTTAGGCATTTTTTATGGATTTTAACTAGTACAATGGTTAAGTTGCAACAGAATCACAAATGTGATTCTTGAAAAACTCAATTCACTTTATTTTTATTACACAGTACTTAGGATTTAACTTCTTTCATATTGCAGATCACATTATTTATATGAAAGGGTGTTTCGCTTTCCATGTTAAGTTTCATATTACTTGAAGTTAGATTCTATTTGAGCTGAAACTTATTTCTATATTCAGTAATTTTACGTGTCAAACAAGTTTGGTGTTCTTTTTGCTGTTTTTATACTAAGCTATGTTCAACTTTGTGTTATTTATTATAGCTAGTACAGTCAATAAGTGTTCTTAACTATTGTGTAGGTTTCTTGGATAATGCATGGACTATTTGTTCTGTTTGTTGGTTTTAATTAATTATTTGAGTGTTTTTATTTCTTGGGAGCATCACAGTATTTATGGGCTTTGCTTTTTGTTTTTTTTTTCTAAGCCAGTTTACTATCTTATTTTTTTATTACTTTTATTGAATTTGTACTATTCGTAATTGTTGCAAAAAGGCGAATAAAAAGAAAACCCATTTAATAATTTTGTCTTTCAACAGGTTCTTTTGCTTTTTATGGATAGTGCAGTAGATAAGTGATCCAAACTATTGCTAGGTCCTTTGTACATTAGCATGGGCTATCTGTTCTGTTTGCTGGTGAATACTCTTTTGAGAGTTTCATTTTTGTAAGGAGCATCAGAGTGTTTAGCTTTGTGTTCTGTTTGTTCTTTCCTTTTTCTTGTACTCCTTGTTACCGTTGTTATTTATTAAATTTCTGGTTATGGATATGAGCTACAGGGTGACTGCATAAACTCGGGAATAATATTTGTGTTACTGGTATATATAAACAAATGAACTCTGTTTTTAGATTTGATTCTACCTGTTGTTTGTTCTTCCTGTATTTATCCATCTTTAGAGATTCATGTGTTCTGTTCTTGAAAATGTTAGGTTGCTATTGTTGGTGATCTTGTTCGTGAATGCACTGTGATCTTATAGTTCTGTGAATGGTTGCTAGTGCATCGTGCAATATGGTTTCCATATATGTGGTTCCTGGTTGCTTGGCCACCTTGTACCTTGTAGATTTATTTTATTGGCAATAAAAGCTGCAGTATGGGCTAAATGCTTTGTGCATTTATTTTCTAGATTATTTTGAAGTATTAGCAACATTAATGAAATGTATTTTTCTGACTGATGTTGTGTAAAGTATCTTTCTGTTTTCACTAGACTTAATGTCTGCAACCAGTTTCTACTGTGGTTTGCTAGTATTGTTGATTTTCTCAGTTGAAGTTTCTTGGATTTTGCTTTTCTTTTGTTTAACTTTAAATAGTCAGTTGTTTCAGAACTTGAGGAGTTACTCTTTTACTTAAATGATTCTCCCGATTTGATTGCAAAGTTTCATGCAACTTGTTTGAATTTTGTATAAAGTATGTTGAGATTTCAAGTGAAAAATGATTTGTTCTGAAAACACTCGATGGGAACACTCTAGATATTCCTTTTATGATGGGAATAGGGAAGGCTTGATTTTCTCTTTCTTATCCACGTTTCTGGACTTGCACTGATTTAGATTAAACTCACCTTCTGTATTTTTAGTTATATGGTCTTATTTTTTGTACCGGTAGTCGTTTTTCATCGTCAAAGTTTGAGTTTGTTTAGCCATTCGAAGGTGGTCATATAGTAACATAACGAGTGAGTGTGCTTGAGTTTACATAATGTTGGTAGATGCTCAGACTCTGTGTAGGTCATTTTTGTTTTCTTAGTTATATACCTTTTTGATAATCTTTCTCAAGTTCAGTATTTTGTAACTTGACTACCGGGTTTTTTTTTAAAAGCGTCTGTGGCTATACCAGAATTGCGCATTCTTTGGTTGGTCATTATTTTTTTACGTTGCTTTCCAATGTTAGTTTCTTGAATGATGGATTGAGTTCAATGTACATATTTGCTTCAGGTGTATGAGAGCTTCTTGGACGCAAATGCTTTATATGGTTGTGCTGATTTCGTGATTGCTGACAGTGAACATTGGTTGATAAATGGACTGCTGCCTGTACCTTTGTTGCCGCTTCTCTTCTCTATCTGCCTATCTGAGTTGTGGTTTTGTGATGGATCTTAGTTTGTTTTATTGGTAGTATGTTTTAGATCTTTGTTCAGAACTTGCAAACTGCTATATTATAAGAGGGAAGACATCTGTTAAGAGTTTCTGCTATATGATTTTGGTATGTCGTTATTAGCTGCCATATATGTGCATCTTTGATTTCGAATTTTATGTTCCATCAAGTGCAGTATCTTTGGTTTATATTTCAGATGTTATTGCTTTGGTTGATGCTTAATTTTCTATTTTCTTATTGTTGTGGTTGGAATTCTGTTGTGCCTAATCCTCATTGTTGTAACCTTTCAGCTTTTACCACACTTTGTGTTTGCTATCTTAACATCGATAGTTTATGATAAAGATATGTTTCCCTGTTACCTCTAAATGTGGTATGCAAGTTCTTTTTTTGCAACCCATGCTTGATTGGAGCTGTGAAGTCTTTTTGAGGACAGATATTTGCTAGTCTATTTAACATTATACATCACATACAAAGGTTTTAATTCTTGTATTCAAATTAGATGCTTTTACTGTAAGATTAGGGCATAGCTAGGGATTTCTTTTTAATCCTTAATTCTTGTCTATTTTGGTAGGTGCTTCTTCTACATTTTTGGAAAATGAAAATTAACTGTAAATTTTACCTGCTATTTCTGGTCTTCTATGAGATATTTCTAAATCTCTGCTTGTTTGCACTACAACATGACATTCCTGCTAACTACCTTTAACTTTTTAGATACAAGCACCCTTTCATTTTATACATATATATTTGTTTTTTAATACAGTTGTTGATTTCTGTGTATAACCTTTCGGCAACTGGGTACGTGAATTCATTTAGTATACATTACTGCTCATGTTTTAATTCACTTGCTGAGTTCTTTGTATAACCGTAGGTGAAAGTTAAAACATTGCATTATTTGGAATTTTAAGTTTTTGCGTCTCTTTAACTTGTCTAGCACACACACTAACCGCTGACACAGGAGATTGCGATGTGTTGACCAAGTACTACGAATATGTGTGACAAGTTTGTGAATTTGATCGATTATAAGTTAGGTTAAGTATGGCTCTAGTGGGGTCATCTATGTACCTGCTAGTTCATACACAAGTCCATTATGTTATATGTAACATTGTTTACTTCTTTTTAGGAATGCCGTGTATCATAACTTTCTTTGACAAATCCTTTGGTTGTGTTCTGTTTGGTATGCTGGTTTTGTTTCTCTGCCTGTTTGAAGTTGATCCCCATCTAAAGCTTAATTTTTGATTATAGATAGCAAAATTGGCTGCATATATAAGTACAAACCCTGCTTTGCATATTTGTTTTCAGCAGTGAGTCCCCTCCTTTTCTCTTCCTTCTTATTAGACCAAACCCTGCTCTGCCTATTTGACCAAAATGATATTGTTGTGCCAGCAAAATGATTTCTTTTGAAGTTGTGAAGATATGATCTTGTTGTCAAGCTCTTGCTGATCTACTTACAACTGCTACTTTATTGTGTGGGTGGTATGACATCAACTTTTGGATTATAAGTTTCGCCAAACTGGTTGAAAGTTGAAGTCATATATGCATGCATGTTCACTCTTCTTGTACGCTAAACATTTAGAAGTAAATTTTATTATAGATGCCTTAGTTGTTACCTAGTTTAACTGCTTTACTTTCCACTTTGAGGTAATATTTCGGGAGAGTATGTCATCGTTGTAGGAGAAGTCTCGTTGGCTTCAATGGGCAGACGGGACTAGACTAGATGGAATTGGACCGGCTAGAATGAGATAGATGGGTGAAAGAATTGGGGAAGGTGTTAGGGTTTTAATTTGATATAAGATAGTTTAGTAATTTACCAAGCTTGTCCTAATTCTTTTTTTTTGTTCCACCTATTTTGGTGGGATAAGGTCTATTTTTGTCCCAGCCAAATGTAGGATGAGTTTTTGTTTTGTCCCGTCTCTGTTCACGTGCTAAACGCACTTTTAAGGGCTTATACTCTTTGGATATCTGTCGTATGGTCATGGTGAATGTCACTTGACATACAGTTTTTCTATTTTGGGTTAATTGATTTTGCATCGATCATTTTAAATCGTTGTAGGTTTCATTCTATTTGGTTATGCCATCTTTAATTTTTATCTTGTTCTACTCACTGGTTATGCCTACCTTTTGTTTTCCTTGAGAACATTAATAATACGAAACTTCTATTTGTGTATATTCTCTTAGATTTGTATTCATGAAAGGGGCTTTTAGTCATGTTATGTTATAGACACTGGTTTTATCGACTTCATCTTATATACTACCTGCAATACATCTTTAGAGTTGGGATATGAATGATCATCTAGTTCTTAGTATTGTGTAACACGGATTGGGTTTTGGTAATAATGGAAGTTATGGTAAGATGAGCAAGTGATCTCCGTTCTTAGATCCATCCTAATTGAAGATCAACAGTAATGAGATGCACCAGATCAATTCCCGGGAGAAGATCAATGCATAGGGTGGGATTGAGATTAAAAGTGATAAGCTTCGCCTCTCACCTTAACTCCTATTCTAACATGATTCTTCGTATAACTCAAATCACATTGATTACTTGCGTTGTGGGGTTGTGGCAAGGTGTGTTCTTTAAAAATGCAATGTAGATTAAGGTTGGTTATTTAGAGGTTATTTTAAAATTTTGAAATTATAAACTAGGTTTCTGTTGCAAGTTAAATTCAATAGAAGTGGGATTTTTTTGGTACTGAACTCTTGCTACATCCATCAATTTTATTTCCTTCTTAGTGATATTGGCATAAATCAATAAGTGATACAAGTTGATGTCAAAATAGTTGATAGGAGGTTAAGCTAGTTTATTCAATTGAGGTTATAAATCTATACTATTTGTAAACCAGATTTATCAAAAGTCTTAAAAACAACTTGTAATGCATGAAGTACTACTACTTTTATGTATTCAGTTTTAAAATCTCTTAATCTACAATTAAAATAACATACAGTACAAGTTATTAATACACATTATTACTTTTTTTTTCTTCATGTTTTCAAGATACTTTTGACATCTTTCACTCATGTTTTCACCCTTTCATATTTCTATGTCTTCTCCCCATCCCATAAGGTGAGATTCAAACTGATATTTACCATTGAGTTATTAAAAGTTCTCTTATTCATCTCTTCTTCAATTGCTCTAGAACTTTCGATCTCGCTCTCGATCTCTTGATTCTTTGCTCTTGGTGTAAAGCGAATATATTTGTGGAATCGTTTAAATATATTGGATTTTAAACTGTCATATATTTTTTTTACCAATAGATTGTAATTGAAACCATAACTCTTATTTATTTAAATTGTATTAATATGTAAAGATCAAGTACAACTTATATCATCGTTAAATCTTCTCTAATAAAATCAGTGAAACTTCAAAAATGGTTAAAATTTACGGCTTCCGTCGTATTGCGTGTGTGAACTAGTAGGCAAAATTGGTTGGTTTAGGCATTGGTCCCAGTTGCGAAAGGACCAAGGTCTGGTCCTGTAACTAGTGGAAGTCTTTAGGAGAAAAAAAATAAGGACCGATCATAAGTGATGAGAATGGACGGTGGATCTGTTTTTTAGGAGCAACTATTATTTATGTGTTTTAAGTATGGATTATTTCTTATAACATCAGTATTGATTATGTTTTATTTTTAAATAATATGACGGAAGGTGAAATGGGGTTTTCTTAAAAATATTCAAGAAAGCCCTTTTTTTTTTTTTTGAAATATCAAGAAATCTTAGGCAAACTTGTGGAATCATCGTTTCTAGATTTTTAAAACATTTTTTTTGTTAGTTTGTGCGTGAAATCTTGGCCCAAAAACAGAAATTTGCTTGGCCATTTGCAGAATTTTTGGCTATTTCTTGAATTCCTTTTTCCCCCCAAAAAGAAAGGACAGTCTTGGATTTGTGTAAATCCATTGATAAATATGATACAAAATCCATAAGCATCAAAAATCCTAAATCCATACCTCACTATCAAAAAAGTCAAAATCTAAACTAAACAATCATAAATCAATTTGAAACAAAACTTAAAAGATCCGTTTGGTTTGCAGGAATGAAATGGATTTAAGAGGTTTGCATTTCAAATCCATTCAGATCTCATTTGTTGGATTGTCCGGATTTGAAATTTTAGGATTTAATTGAAATTCTTAAAACATAGGATTTTGAAATCCTTTGGGAATGCTTCGGATTTCATAGGGTTTATATGAAATAAGGTTTTAAAAAATGTTAAAAACATTCGTTTTGTAAT